GCTGCTGAGTGCAGGCGCCTGCGCCTGCACCTGTGCTGTTTGCCCACCCGGCACCCTGCTGCGGCCGGCTTGCCTTGGTAGCACCTGGGGTTGCGGTAGCCCCAGCGTCCTGTATCAGGATCTCCCTGCTCTCTCCCTATGCAGCCAGCCCGGGGCAGTATTTTGGACCTTCCTCTTCCCCACAAGGTTACTATATGAACGCACGCTGGCCTTGCATCTTCCTCCCCACCCCAGACAGCTCTGCGCTGGGCCCGCTGTGAGCACGATGGTGAAAGTGGTGCCCAGGGGCACCGCAATGCCCTGCTGGCAAAGCTGCCCCGGAGCAGACACCCACAAGAGCACGCTGCTCGGTTTGCCACTGGCGAGCTCTCTGGCGGGGTCCCGGCACTTTAAGGTGCCCCGAGCCGGGTATTGGCAGCTCTCTGAGGAGGGAACATTGTGTTCACAGGCTGGACCGGGCTCTTGCTCACCGGCTCAAATTGGCCGCCGGCCTGAGCACGGAAACGAGATCCGAGCCCATCTGAAACGCATTCGGCCCTGGGCATCGTTGCTGCAAGAGCAGATGCTGCTGCAGGCCCCGAACCACATCACAGCCCCTCAGCGCGGGAACCGCGCGGTCACACGGGGAGAAACAGCCCTGGCCCCAAACGGTTCCAACGGCCTCATTAAAGCCCGACCATAACGAATAAACAACACAATGGGCTGGAGGCAAGACGAAGGCGACGCGCTCGGCAGGGCCCGGCTGTGAATGTGGTGTATGCACCAAGCAGGGGACTTTGGCATGGTCTAGCAGCGCAGCGGGGTTGAGGCAGACCAGATCCGGACCTCCCCCCCAGGGAGCAACTGGCTGTGCGACACAGCGGGAGCCCGAGCTGGCTCCAAAAGGCATCCCGGATGACACATCCTGCCGAGGGGTCCTTGGAGACCCTGGTGGGAGGCTCCGCAAAGCCGGCAGCTTGGCCTAGTTGTCCCGGTGCCTGCCCCAGCGTGCGCAGGGCACCGGGCTGCAAATGAGCAGTGGGCACCACTGCGGCGTGTCGTGGAGTCAACGCACGGCAGCAGCAGAACAGCCCGAGGAGCCTCTCCCAGCCAGTAGCAGGGGCAGCCAGCTCTCGTCCCGGCCGAGTTGGGGCCTGCAGCCAGGTGTCCCCTGTGCCGTGGTGGCTAGCGAGACCCTTCTGCTGCTCGCCCCCGCAGCCCAGCTTGGATGCAGGGCCGCGCTCTCTGCCTCGCCTTCCTTGCGCTGTCAGCGCTGAGGGCAGGCGCTATCACGCAGCTAGTTGGGGTATCTGATTGCAGGAGTTATCTCGGCCTGGCTATCTCAGCCT